CCACATTTGCTGTTATATTAGCTGCTGACCAGTAGGAGGCATTGCACAACTGGTTTCACCCATACTGGCACTCTTCAGGCGTAGGTATCCTCTATAGGTATGTGTAGTACCTCATATTGGCCAGGAGCTAATATAACATCTAAAGCTATAAAAGGACCACCTTTAAGGGGAGGCAGTCTTGAAGCCTCTAGTATAAGACCCAAACCAATTTTAAAAATCACAAAAAAAAAATATTTCAACTATGAGGGCACACAGAAAAAAAAGGAATGCATACCTGTATAACTTCTATAAAAGCCATGTTAATTTATGGTCGCAAAAAATCAGGAATTTGGTAGCATGTTTTCTGACTAACAAACTTTATTCAAAGGCATACACTGTAGTTTACAAAAGTTTATGCCTATTAATAAAAAGTATTAGTTGGAAAAGGCATTAATAGCTGCTCCTGATTTTCTGGGCATTCTCTGTTATTCTAACTGGGAATAGAGCATACTTGCAAGATTTTTTTTCCTGTTTCTTGTAATGTGAGAGCATGCTTGGCATCATGGTTAGAGATTATTTTATGTAGGATTTTTGTTTTGATTTTTTTGTAGTTGACATTTTGCACACAAGGAATAATTCTGGGAAGTTTATAAGCATAGAAGATACATTGATTAGGATTTAGCTTTAGTACTTTGGTATAGTTTTCACTGTTTGTTGTTCCTGATTAAATAACATTACAGCTGAAGGGCTAAATCAAATTACTTCTGATGAAATATTGCAACATTTGGAGCTTTTTACCTTGGGGAAATATAATGGGCTATGTAAAATTATGCATTATCAAACCAAGTGAATAGGGTTATGATACTTGGTATCCTTATAATTTTAATTATATTTATATATCAAATTTGTCACCGCCCATCTCGTTGAAATAACTCTGGGCAGTTTACAAAACAGTTAAAATCAATTTACAATAGTTACAATATACAATAATAGAAAATAAATAGATCCAAGCATAGATATAAAATTGGCAGTCACTCAGGGAGCATCAATAATCCTAAAATCTTGAACGCATAGATAAAGGAAGAACTTTGCATAATGCAAAATTGTGTG